TAACATTGTCAAATACACGTAAGGAAGTATATTCATTACAGTCAGCGCATTGCAAGCACCAAAAACGAACCTTGGTGATACACGTATTAGTAAGTGCTGTACTTCAGACGTACGATGGGATCAGAACAACTACTTGGGTACTACAGCAAAGAAAATACAGTAGAAAAGAGAAACATAAGAGCTATCGATGGCTGTGTGACACCTGTAAAATCACTGAGAAGGCATTCGGTTGTGGGTTCCTGAAGAAGACAAACCCTGCTGGAAGCGTGCCAAGTTTCCAAAAAAGCAGATTTAACCGTTTTCTTACCTCATTTATATCGACAGTGGTGTTGTAGTGTGTCGGTGGTCGGCGGTCAAAATAGGTAACTTTTTCGCAGCCCTCCACTGAAATAAAAGTGGAACTGGTATTTGCTGAGCAACTATGGGTAAAACTCACGTATTTGAGGCTGGACAGGGTACTTTTTCTTGGGTCGATAACCTGGACAAGCACGATCCACCCGTATTACTGTTAGCGTAGTGTGAGGTACCGGGAATACACGGGCATATCTGCAATTAATCGGCCATAGAATTCGGATAGAGATTGGTCAGTAGCATTGAGATTCATGAGGTCGGAGTAAATTGCAAAGTATCAATGGCACGAATGTTGATGGGACATTTGGTCCGCCACGGACGAGGAATTTGACCTAAAGGCAAAGGGCACGATGGCTAGGGGTGGGCGGTTGTCGCCAACGTCATTGGTGAGCGGTGTGTGGTCAAACACCCTCTCGCAGCGCTTCCACAAACTGGCAACACCCACCCGCCTCCAGCAACCGCACTCCTTGCTATCACAAGAGTGCTAAGTTATGGGCAAAAGTCAGATCCCAGACGGAGTCGAACCCGCATCTCGCTCTTATCGCGCGGTGCGTTGGTGGTAACATTCGCGCGCTGCGGCGCTAACCAGCGGTATCAGAATAAAACATGCCCACTGCCTTCAAAGAGATTCCGCGATAGTCGAATGGGCGGAAACTGATGACCGTGTACCTTCCTCTTCGATTCTCTCATTTAGTGTCCTGGAAGCGCTAAGGAGGAAAGAACTATATCCCCTGATCTCTAACGTCCCGATTACCTTGGAATTTACAGTCGTTGTCCCTGCAAACGTGTGAAGATGCTTGGACTCGAGCGCAACCAGGGTAGGCTTTCCCATCAACCGTTGGCGACCAGGATGGCATCAGTTGGGGAAGAGGTTGTCGTAGCGAGGTTCTAATCCACCCCTCAAACGCTCAACGGGGACGCCGTGGTCAGAACGACATATACGGTTGTGACCGACTACCCAAATACCTTGTAATGAATACATTTGTTGCTAAGAGAAGAAAGATGAATAGCCAACCTGGCACATTTCATATCGCTCAACTGTATTTGCTTGGTTATATTGAGCGTCATTTTGTAGCTAGTGTGGCGCAGGAAACATCTGGAATATGTCTCGGCACGATTACGAAAGAACAAATTGTGTCATATGTATGGCTCATACTGAGGAATTTAATTGAGATATTCTCTCCCGAATCATTTCATGCTCTAGAGTATGAAAGTGAAAGCTTCTGGACAATGCTAGGTACCTCTCCACTGGTTTAATCCTTTGAAAGCGGCATATCCCACCAGACATGGATGGTTGTCCTGCGACGAACGATGTGAGAAGGTAGTAGAGATCAATCCTGAAAGTGTGGAACCCTATTCAGTGAGCAAAATTGCTAAAAGACTTGCCTGCTCACCAAAAAGTTTTCCCAATGAGGGCTGTGATGCTGTCAATGAGAGTTCTGAAAATGTTGCTCCTGCGAGTAGCCGGGCTGGACCATGGAGCCGATCGACTCGCCATACACTCGGCCTGTGCATCCACCCACGATTCTCTGTGGAAGATGAGATGTTGGTGCACGAAGTGAGAGATGGAGCTCATTGTCAGACTCACGTGGTGACCATGTCATTCTCCACAAGACTCGCGAACAGCTGCGGATCAAATCGAGCCAGAGGAGCTGGAGTTCGAGAAGTTGACGACGCCAGTACAAACCCGCTTCGAGTAATGAGCAGGCAGTCAATCTGAAGTTGAGACGTCATGAGGTCGTCAAAGCACCAGTGAAAACCTTCCAGTCGAAATTCACCTTTTTACAGTCATTCCACTGCTTTGTGCCTGAACGTGTCCAATTTGAGAATAACGCATTTGCATACGGCATTCTCCACTGGACACCCACAACTGCCAATCGATTATTGAATTGATCGGTTATTGATCGATACGCAACAACGACGTCATTTCGAACGGAGAATTGCAGCAGATTGCTCGAATTCTCCTTGCCCAGACGTTCGATGTCGAATTTCGCCGTCACCTCTTTCATGTAAGACTTTGAGCTGAAAAAGTCCTTGGTCATCTCCAAGAGAAGTCTTTTACTACTGAATAGAACCTCGAAGAATAAGGTTCTAAAAGTTTCTTCTGAAGTAAAGGGAGTTTTCTTTAAAAGATTGACACCGGAAAACCCGAGCGAAAAGTCCCGTGTAGTTCGTTGTCTACCCCAGCGGCGCGAGCGGTTGCGAAGCGACTGAGATGTATCGAAGCAAATATCCACCATATTTGTAAATCATCAATCATTCAGTACTGTCCGTCTTTATAAAAAAATAAAGGCTCATGTGGTCGGGTTGCCGCTTTGCCATTGCACGCGCCATTGAATTGAAAGCAGTTGAAGACAAACTGTACCGGTTCTTGCCGTCCGCAGCTGCAGTAGCGCGCCTTTTTCTTAGCTGAAAGTGCACGGGAACGCGGCGGTAGGGTAGTGGTGTCCCAAGTAGCCTCATGCCCAGCCTTCGCTATCCTCAAGGTGCAGCACTTGTGCTGATACCAAGGTCCCGCAGTCAAACTCGCATTCTGGTAGAGAATAACCAGAAGCGAGAGGGTGCAGACAAGCAGTGCGTTTGGCAGTGGTTAGCAGTGTTGCTGGCCAGGCAGAAGCGCGGGCGAGTATGGACTCCAATACCACCTTGCACAATACCGAAAACGTTCGCCGTTGATTGAAGAAAGGTGGTGAGGATCTAGAATAGAGCTGGGGAAAGAGGAGAGGGATCGCGAGGGCCGTGGCGTATGTTTGGGCGGAGATTCTTGGGCAGTGGAGCGGCAAAAAAGTAACACACTGTTGCAGCGGCAGAATCATTCACACCACATATCCACAAACGGCGAGGACCGGGATCCTTTAAGGTAAGTGTACCGCTTGTCTCCGAGCCATCAAAGTTGGGAGATCTTTGTAGTTTTTTAATCTCACTTCAGGGTCAACTTTTCACCGCCTTGTTTCGTACTAGTGGAGTGATTCTACATTTCCCAAAAATATCTAAAATGTAAAAACTCGTGTAAAAAAGCAGAAGTGACTCTAATCGAACAATTGAACTAACCAGCTTGGGAAGTACGTTTCAATTTGTGAGCGCGTGTGCACAAAGGAGTTGATGTAATATTGTTTAGGAAATTCAGGCGGAAGGTGGAGGTCTTCACAGGAAGAGTTCACAGCAACACCTCTGAAAACTCTACATAGGCTGGACAGCAGATCATAAGTTAATATGAATACACTCCGCCTTGATCAGAAGACCAGTAGGACCAATACGATTGTTACGTTCTTTCTTTTTTTCATATTAGAATTAGGGGGGTGGGGGCATATGTACTGCACCTGTATGATCAACGTAGAACGTGTCCCAAGGACCTGGGCAAACATTAGAAAAGAAGCTAATTAATGAAGGGACTTCACTAAGGTTGAGTGGTGGTGTTCCTCACTTAACTCATGCTCAATATGCCTGAACTCCTCAAACTCTCTAATCGGACTGGAGAATTAAAGTGTAGCTTCCAGCGAATCTTGGTCACAGAAGCCCATCAGCACCTCACACAAATTCATGATCTGACCACGTAACTACCCTGTACTCCCAACTCCGAGTATTAACAGACTCACCGCTAATACTCTAAGACTCAAGTGCATTGTAGTATGACCGTCGTAGGCAACGAGCATTTAATGGTCACCTTCAGGAGAGCAGGCGCACATCAATCACTGGTAGCACTGAAATCGATTAGAGCATGCAGCGGATCCATTGTTCACCTCAGCTGCATATTGATCTGAAATGAATTCATCTTTCGAGTAGTTTGTCTTGAAACTCTTGACTTGTTTGATTCTTTATTGGCGAGCTTTCGACATGTAATGCATTCGCCAGGCTGACACCAACTGATATATTATAATTAACACCACAGGCATTATTGACACAATATCTGTTAGAAAGTTAACTACTGTCGATTTGTCGGTCTGTATGTATGTAAGTATGTATGTTTGTCCGTCCGCAAAATGCTTCACGGGTTCGAGTCCGCGGTAGGAGAAAACGACCGCGCATATACAAATAATGCAAAAAGAGTAACCCGAATTGAGTGACGGAGAGTATGTATACGAGTACGAGAATATTGGTTTTTGTGATATGTGATAGAAAGCTTCCGCTATATACTAAAACTAACCATAGGTGCACTTCAAGCCATTGCACGGCTGCTGGCATGGCAGCTGGACGTGTGCTCCTGCGGGTGCAGGTGGGGTGGAGTCGAGGGGAGGGGACGCCGAGTGACCCCTCCCCTCTGCTTCCTTCCCCTGCACGTGCTCAGCCGGACCTGAGCATGTGCAAGGGAAGGAATGCAGAGCCGGGCGGTCCGACTGGAACACTGGGGCGTTTGTTCCAAGGTATGATATAGGTTATGGCACAGGAATATGTGGGTGACAAGAACTGCTAGCTGCTGATAAGATTTGATAAGGGGAGTTAGAATGGAAAGGTCAACATACTCATAACGCGGGACACAGCATCAGTTAGGCGTTGATTTCAGCAAATGATATCAAGGGGAAGGTGGAGAAGGCGACGGCGGGTGACAGGAAATGATACAGCTGATAGGGCCTGATAGAGAACGATGCAGTTGTTGTTCAGTCAAATGCTGGAGCCTCTACACCACGATAGAGTTTTAGTGATAGCGACATTGATGACGGGTGACAAGCAATTTTATCAATTCGATAAGAAAAGAAAAGGCATCAAGTTGACTCCCGATACCATGAAGCTGTACGAGCGCCTGGTCAACACTAGGCTGAGGGAACTTGTCCCTATCTCGCAGGAACAGTTCGGCTTCATGCCCGAAAGGTCCACCACTGATGCCATCTTCATCGCCAGACAGCTGATGGAGAAGTACCGAGAGAAGCGGCGACCCTGCTACCTAGCCTTCCTGGACCTTGAGAAGGCATTCGACCGCCTGCCTAGCCTGTACTCTGGAGTACGTAAGCATTGGAATTTCGAAGCAGAGGCAAGCGATCCACGAGAAGCCCAAGAAGAAAAGACCTAGGGGCGTCATCAAGAAGGACCTCACTGAAAAAGCCACGGCAGAAGATGCAGTGGATCGGAACAAGTGGCGACGTCTAACAAGAACAGCGGACCCTGCGACGGCGCGGGACTAACGCTAGGGAGAAGAAGAAGAATAGAGAATAAGAACAAGAACAAGAACAAGAACAAGAACAAGAACAAGAATAAGAATAAGAATAAGAATAAGAATAAGAATAAGAATAAGAATAAGAATAAGAATAAGAATAAGAATAAGAATAAGAATAAGAATAAGAATATTCTGACGAATTCTGATTTTTCTACTGACTAACATCCGCATGTGACGCGGATTCACGGTGGAGTTCTGGCCTCTGAAGAAGACGACCCTGTCGAAACGTTAGGCCGTTGAATAAAGATTCCACCTAAAAACCTCAAGAGGCATAGCAATACTAACGAATTAACAACGATGCCGAGGTTACAGCAAGAGAGAAGCTGGAGAATATAATAAAAATAATAATAAGAATAAGAATAAGAATAAGAATAAGAATAAGAATAAGAATAAGAATAAGAATAAGAATAAGAATAAGAAGAAGAAGAAGACAAGAAAAGATAAGGGGAAATTCTCACGACATCTATGACCACTACACTGCCAAGTAATAAAGTCTCAAGTACAGCACACTGCCAAGTAATAAAGTCTCAGTAAGCGAACTTTTCCTTCAGCCATCACTTCTCTGATAGCACTAGAAATGAACTCATCCCATCCCACTATCCTACTACTATATAATGTCGATGTCGACGAGCGGGGGGGGGGGGAAAGCTTCCGTTATTTTTCTCTTTAGCGGCAATATCAAAAAGGTTCTTCGTGACACCATGAACCATGACCAGTTCTTCGTGAAGTCATCTTGTCAAATTGGTATCCTGCGCACATGCGCCTTTTTTCATATGGGGAAGAGTAGGGGATAGGGGTTCCGAAGTGTGAGCTTTCACTACCACGACACACCTGGTCCAGCGGTGTGTGACAATTTGGGTGATAGTTGCGATCATCCAAAAGTTTTCAAACAAAAGTCCTCACTCATGTTCTGTGTAAGGGAGGCTTTGATTGAAAGATTCACGTCGCACTCACGCGCACTTGGCTGGCATTTCCAAATATTGTGATACTTTCACATTAAGCTTTTTAAGTCCTGGTGCGAGTGTCGCGCACGCGACAACGACGTTCACCTCGCCGTTGCAAAATGGATATCTCAATCTCGCAGCGATGAAGAGGACCACATGACAGTCTTCCTACACCTTTCGGTGAACAAAGATTATGAACAACATGCGACACCTAGCATTTGTGTTAGCGTAAATCCGCTGTAGACGAAATTCACTCCATATCCTCGAAATGGGAGGGGCGTTGCTAAGTCCTTTATTAGAACATGGCGTGGGATGCGCTTTCTGTAGGATATTTCCATATTTTGAGACAACTGTCATCCTGTCATGCCCCAAATAAAGACACAAGAGAGATTATTGCAGTGCTGTAATGGCTATCACCCATCAGAACACAGCCGCCAACACAATTAATCGAAGAATTCAGCCACGCCCTCCCCATTTTCGGGATATGGAATGTTACGCCGCTTGAATATCGTTTGAACAGTGAGGCTATTGCGAGATATCAAAATGGTTTGTAACGATTGCGGTACCTGCTGGACAAAAAATACGTGACGAAAGGGTTGCCGGAAATCTCCAGGCGAGGCGTCCTTTCCGTATAAGCAAGGGTTTGACGATTCGGCGAACTCACAATGATCACAGAAAACGGCGAACCTTTCAGATTTGCGCAGTGGTATTCTCTGTCACCCTGAAAAGTTTTGGGAAGTAACCCTAGCTCTCCATGGGCCTTTCTGACAGTGAATTCTCAACAGATTCAAATATAGAAAGAGATAGGTCACTAGGGCATCACTCTATGCAAAGATTAAGGATAGAGTTCAATTTTTTGATAGCATTAAACCTACGTCAACTATAGGCTCTGAGTCACAGGTTGCTGTTATGACGCCGTGGCGTAACCGATGTACTCCTGTAGAGTTTCCTTCAAGCTCGATCTGTTATGAATTGTGTTGCTGTTTAACGTGAAAGGTATCCAGTATACTTCACCAAGTCTATAGAAGCTGTCAGAGAATAACTGCTTACCAAGTCGATAGTGGGAATACTGTCAATAAGGCCAACAAGGCGATAAACACGTTGATCGCTGAAGCCGTATTGGACCTAAACATTCCCAGTTAATTCAACCAGTTAGTTACTACGAAATCACTTACGAAGCTACATAATTGCTTATAATTTTTCCGCGAAGTGGCTTCTTTGCCAATTTTGCACGAAGTTTTTTTTGCAGGTTCTACACTATATATAGATGTTATAGTAATTTTTCACACTTTTCGTCTATTTTGACAGATAGACCCTTGACAACACTTTTACTATGTAGTACACTTGACTCCGCCCCCGACGACTCCGCCCACTTATTAATGGATTTACTGAAAATTTCGCCACTTATAACTTTATTCCGCGACATCCGATTTTAGTGAACTTTTGACAGACATTTTCTACACATAAGAGGCAATTTTTTGAGTATTTAATTCACAGTAATTCTGAATTTTGAGGCGGAGGTGGTGTAGTGACAAGTGGCGCGCTTACCACTCGCGCGGCGCCGGGTTCAAATCCCGGGTCGACTCCCGCCCAGGCCAACCAAGCCTTCTACCCTCCGGGGACGGTAAATTGGTACCAGATTCGTCGGCTGGCCACTGCAAGTCATTGTATAGGCCACATCGCATTCAATCCACTACGATTCTGAATGGAAGTAGAATGCGTGCCGCATCCCACAAAGGGATTGATCAACGGCGAAGACTTTATCCTTTTTTTAGTTCCTGAATTCTGAATGGACGCTGCCTTTTTAACGACTGAGATGTCTGTTAGAAAATTTAGGGGCAAATTGTTTCGCAGATGCTCAAAACACATTCTATGACAATAATATTAGGTTGTCCGGAAAGTTCTTAGCGTTTTGTGCACCTAATCTTTGTACATTCACTGCTGATTAAAAACTCATTCTGCCTTGCTTCTCAGTAGCACATCCTGTAGAGAATTTCTTGCGCTATCTGATGGTATAATTGCCGTTTCACCATTGCTTGATAAACCCTCTTTTTTCAAGATTTTTTCAAGCATGTGAAAAGAGCACTTCGGACGATTTTTTTCTTCGGCTATAAATTGGGGCAATCCGCAATCGAAACAGCTCAACAAATTAACCAGGTGTGGGGGCCCAATAGTGCTAGAGAAAGCACTGTGCGGCAATGGCTCAATAAATTTCGTTCTGGAGATTTCAGCCTTGAAGGTGAAGCCTCATAGCGGTCGACCTAAAGCAATATCTGACGAGGATTTTAGGGGGATTTTGAAGGTTGACCCATCCCAAACAGTTCGAGAGATAGCAGAAGAGCTAGGCCTTGGCAAATCCACTGTTGCAGATGGTCTGGAACGCATTGGGAAGGTGAAAAAACTCGACAATTGGGTGCCCCACAATCGGAGTGACCGGCAGGAATCGGCACGTCTCGAGGTTCCTTCTTCACTGCTTTTGCGCAAAAGAATTGACCCGTTTTTGAACGGATTTGTCACCTGTGATGAAAAATGGATCATGTATGATAACAGGAGACGTTCCGGACAGTGGTTGGATTTGGAGGAACCACCGAGGTAATTTTCAAAGCCGAACCCTCGCGAAAAAAAAAATTCTGGTCAGGTTTGGTGGTCATCGGCTGT